AGCGGAAACAGTAAGCCCAGCCTAGCCCATCTACTTCGGCAGCAGCAGTGGGCCCCAACCCACCTACTTCGACAGCACCTATCTTATCTTGTTACCTACCTATCTTATCTTGTTACCTCATTAGATTAGGACTTACTTGTTAGATCAAAATAAGGAGTGACTTACTCTTGTTAGATTAGGAGAAGGTCTCCACGTCCAGCTAGGAGTGGGACTATTGTAATCTTCTCCTATAGTGAGGAATAAAGGCATCGAATATTCAGTCTCAAGAAAGTAGGAGAGTTGGTGATCTCTTGAACAAATCACCTCCGCCCAAGAAGAGCAAGATAGGTACCTCACGCAAGGGAAGAGACAAGGGAAAACATGAAGGTTTTCCCGTGGATCGCCCCGTGACTAGATCCTACTCACGAGCCCTCAACACCAGTGGTCCGGCTTCAAAAGCATGATACAAACCAATGACTTGTTATATTTTACTTAGTTGATTGTTCAAAAATCAGTAGAGAAATAAATCTTAGTTTTTCATACTTAAGGGCGATTATTGACACCAAGGGATGTGACTTCCTGAAATGGAGAATGATTCTAAAAATGGTTTCTTACCTAACAAAATGTATATTTCAACTAGTGGGGACCCATGTGATGCATGGGATTTATGAAGTGAAAGTGAAACAACCAAAACTTATAACTAAGGAAGGAACACAATATTGTTCGAAATAATTAATCTTTATTTTAATATTTTTTTACAAAAATAATTAATAATTTAATAATTTGGATTAATTATATTAATACTTTTTAATAAAAATAGTAAAGCATTGCTAATTAGTTAATCCAATAATTATTTTTTCTGTATTATCTATTAGTGTTCTATTTTATTCATTTTACTTTATTAATGATTAAATGTTACATTTTTTGTAAATATTATTTAAATATTTAAAATACTTAAGTATTAGTAAATATATAAAATTAAGCTATAATTATAATTAAATTAATCTATATTTTAACTCTTTATTCATAATTAAATTAATCTAAGGTCGAGCTTGAGGTTTAAGACTTTGGGTTAGGCTTGAGTGGATCCTCATCTTGACCCAACCCACCCAAGTTGCACCCCTTCGAGTAATTTAAGATTCCTAATTGGATTTAACCAAACCGAGTGCATTTAATGCATCAATTGTTTTTCGGTTTTTTTAACTATTGGTAATTAAGCACATGCGTTGCACGTGAGAAAAATTTCTTCATATGAATTATTTGAATTTTAGATATATCATAGTTAAGATACAAATTGAAAATTAAAAAAAGTAACAATGTGATTAAAAATAAACTTAAATATTTATTATTTAATTATGACGTCATGCATTTTTTTGAAAAGTTGGATCATTGACCCACCATCTAGATAAGAAATATCGTTGCTTTTGGATTAATTTTAAATTAGGGGAAATTTTAGTCGGAGCCAGCTATACATTTAAAATTTGGTTACAAGTTGGTCCATAAATCAACAAAATTCTAACAAACAGCTCTATATTTCAAGTTATAAAAGCCCTCGCCATGTCATTGGAGGGTTATGTGGCTATTGCCAACATGGTACTCTTAATCCATATTGGACATAATAAAAAGTTTATACTGAAATTGCCATTTAATGTTGGGTGATTGGAAAATAAAAAAAGGGTTTTTAATTTCTCTCTCTCCCTCCCTCACACTCTTTTATTCATAGTCATCTTTATCTGCTCAACGACTATTTGATTTGAAAATAAATAAAAATGGTATTTGGTTTCTAAATTTACATTCTCTATATCAATTTCTCTCATTCTCTCTCTCTACCTATCGTTCTCCCTCAATCTCTCTCATTCTCTTTCTCGGTCGATCTCTCATTCTCCCTTAATTTCTATCATTCTCCCTCTCTTGTTTTTTTTTTTTTTATTTTCTTATTTTCTTACACACTTATATGGTATTAATCAGATCGTATAAAAGAACATGAGACCAACTTGGTATGGTTAAAAAATTATTACACCAATTTGATAAAATTCACAAGAAACTCTTGGCTATGAAATTTACACCAATTGGAGAGCAATAGAGATTGAGGGAGAAGGAGATTTTGACCGAGAAAGAGAGAGTGAGGGAGAAGAATGAGAAAGATTGAGGGAGAACAACAAAGAGAGAGAGGCTTTGATTTGGCTACAGACCGAAGCAAAGAGAGTGGGAGAGATAGAGGGAGCGGGAGATCGAGAGATGACTGTGAGAGTGAGAGAGAAGGGAGGGAGATCGAGAAACAGAGGGAGTGGGAGAGAAACTGAAAACCTATTTTTGATATAAGTTTTTTGTTGTGTCCAACATGGAATAAGAGTCTCATGTTGGCAACAGCCACATAAGCCTCTGATAACATGGCGGGGGTTTTTATAATTCGAAATGTAGAGCCGGTTTTCAGAGTTTGGTTGGTTTCTGGACCAACCTACAACCTAATTTTAAATGTACAATCGATTTTGACTATAATTTTCCCTTTAAATTATATATTTCATTTACATTATATAAAATATTTTTTTTACTTATCACACTTAACTTTTGTTTGTCTATGGTATCATTATACTCAAATCACTAACCCACCATCTAAAAATAAAAATTGTTTGATTTCTAGGTTGACATTAAATTTTGTATTACATTTCCATCATTGATAACATTATTTCTTATGTATAAAACTTATTTTTGTACAATATAATGAATGTACAATATTAGAGATGCACCCAATGTTTTATTTTTTATAAATATATAACATTAGATATGTACCCAAAATTTTCTCTTATCTTTTTTTTTTTAATTTTTGTGATTCTTTGTATTTTCTATTATTAAAAATTTTATTATTTGACTTTGACATCATTTAATTTCTAGGTAGATTTTGAAATTGGCTTTCCATTTTCATTATTAATAAAAATATTTCTTACATTTCATAGTTATTTATTTTAATTTTTTATTATTTGATTATGGCATTATTTACTAATCCATTTGACCACAAATGGTCAAATTGCTTGCCCACCACCGGGAGGAAAGAAAATGGTTTTGTTTTGAAATTACTTTTCAAAATATTTACATTTATACTATTAAAATTAATATTGTAGATTTAATTACAAGAATTTAATGATGAGAAAAATATATTTTAAATATAGAATTTAATGAGAAAAAATAGGAAAATATTTTTATTTCCAATTGGTTTTAAATTTTACATTCCATTTTCATCACTAATAAAAACATTTCTTATTTAACATACTTATTATTGTTTAATATGCATGTTAAAAATGTTCCCATTTTTTTTTAATTTATATTTTGTTTTTCATTTTATTATTTAATCATGGCAGCATAGATTAACCCATTTGACCCAGAATGATTTAATTTCTTACCACCACTTAGATGAAAACACTATTTTTGCTAGGTAGATTTTAAAGGTATAAGCTTTTATGTTATTGGAATTATTAATTTATTAAGTATGGATTTAATTAATAGAACTTAATGATGAGAAGAAATAAAAATGATTTAAATATATGATTCAATGAACATGAATGCAAGTTAATAACTTAAATGTTGGATTTAATGAGAGAGGATTGAATGCATTGAATATCTTTGAAATACCTCTTTTCAACTCATTTAATATCAAGAACCAATTACCCTATTTGTCCTCATTTTTTTTATCATTAAATTTAAATATAGAGGGGTAAATATTGTCCTTAGAAAATTCTAGAAATATTCTTGAGGCCATTCTTACTTTTTAAAGTAGTATAGATTTTTAAATAACATTGAAGTTGAAGGAGCTATGGTGGATGTGTTATACCATTGTGTAGCCTAATGAACCAAGAAAATAAAAGATATTGAGCTAGATTTTGATAGTGTATTAATACTTTAATAGTTTTTAAGATTGCCTAACCTAGCTTGGTCCACACCTTAAGCATAATAATCTTTGTTAGGGCTTAGGACATGCGTAGGCTTGCCTTGTTAGCATTTCTATTTATGCATTAATATAAAATCTGTTATCTAAATATTATATAATAATAATATTTACCATATTTGGATGTTAGAACTTGCATCTTATTAATAATCATATTAAATATAGATTTTACCTCATCCGGTTTGATTAAAATCCATGTCTAATAAAAAATTATTATTATATATATGTAGTATAATTATGTATACATATAGATATTACGTGTAATTATATAAAGTTTATAATTAATACATTTAATATTTTATATTTATATACATTTATTACTCATATATATTTTAAAAATAATTAGTTTTTTTACTTTTTAATTTTGGGTCATTTTAAATACAATGAGATTGGCACGGATTAAATTTAAAATCCAACATAATAATTAGATATGGATGTGGATCTAGAGATTTCAAAATCGAATGTTGATGTGGATATAACTAGATTTGATCTAAATCCAATCCGTTTATAGCCCTACTATCTACATTATGTGTGGAGTTGGTGGAGATCCGAGCTAAACCTAGATTAGAAGAAAATAATTACTTGAGCTTGAAAATTCATAGGTCTAGCCCAGTTGAGCTATCTATTAATATTAATTTTTATTAATTTCTTAAATTTTAATAGTTGCTAGATAAAAACTTGCTAAAATTTAATATTTCTTATTAATTTTAGTTATTGGGTTTCAGACTATAAATTTTTAACAATTAACCAATTAAATAGAATTTAAACATAAAATAAAATTTGGAATGAAAATTCTATCTTTTTTTTTAAATACAACAGGGAGTTAGGGACTTATCCGCCCCACCCATTGATGAAACTTGAAAGCTCAACATTTTTGTGTAGACTGTTTCCTTTAAAAACGTGAAATCGAACCTCTCTCTCTAATACTCCAAAGTCCAAACGCCTCAAAATCGGTGGTTCGGATTCCAAGCCGCACCCGAGGTCCAATGGTGTAAAGTTTGTTTCCACTTTGTGAACGGTCGAGAGTCGATATAACTGTGGCGCACGGTTGCAGAGTCACTCTTCCCTCAAACACGTGCCGACCTACATGAACGCAAATACGCAATACATCCACAGTCCATACTCCAGACAGAAACAGCCGAATTCAGAAATCCGGAGTTCGGGTATCTCGAGCTAATTATTTCATTCAATCCCTAGAAGGAGATCCAAAGAGAGGTTTGGTTTATGGTTTATGATTATCTGTTTTAGAATTTCTTAAACCCTAGAAGGAGCGAAGTACCTCGAGAGGTGACTAGGGTTTGTCTGCTGCATCCTGCATCCTGCATCCTGCATCCTGGACGATGAAATAGTGCTTATTTTTATCTCAATAAATCGGGGATATGTCGAAGAGGAAATTCGGCTTCGAAGGTTTTGGCATAAACAGGTCGGCTACCTACAATTTTGAGAGATCCCAGGCTCCCCAGAGATTATATGTTCCTCCTTCATCCCGTTCCGCCGGCCATGATAACTATGAAGATCACGACCTTGACAACATCGAGTATGATGAGAGGGATGACCGCAACGATGCTCCTAATGATCAGAGCGGTGGTGCTGATGATGGGGAGATTGACCCCCTTGATGCGTTCATGGAGGGAATTCACGAAGAGATGAGGGCGGCGCCTCCCCCGAAGGCTAAAGAGAAGGCAGATAAGTTCGGGGATGATGACGAGGATGACCCGATTGAGATCTTCTTGAGGGCAAAGAAGGATGTGGGTTTGACTCTGGCTTCGGAAGCCCTTCATGCTGGCTATGATTCGGATGAGGAGGTGTATGCGGTAGCTAAGGCTGTAGATGCTGGGATGATTGAGTACGATTCAGATGATAGTCCTGTGGTTGTCGATAAGAAGAAGATTGAGCCGATTCCAGCTCTGGACCATAGTTCTATAGACTATGAGGCATTTAACAAGGATTTTTATGAAGAGAAAGCTTCCATTTCAGGTAAACTGAAAAACTAATCCCATCAATAGACTTTTGGTTTTCATAATTTGATTTTTTTTAATTGCAAGATGTGTGCTCTGGACCATTTATATCTACGTTAACACTAAAGAACACTTACCGCTGTCTATGACACTATATCATTACTCAAAAGGATAAGAAGACATTTCATTCAGCAGTTCTCTTCAACCTAGTGTGAGTCTGCTTTTGCCTTAGAAATTTGTTAAGGAAAAGCACCTATAAAAAAGGGGGATTCCAGACAATAGGTTACTTAATGTTTGGGGGTGTTCTTCCTATTCCAAATGGGGGAATTCTGAAATGCCTTTTCTATATGATCTTGCAAACTCTTTGGTTATGGGAGAAAGCTGGGCTACTCATACTACTGGATAACAAATTGAGTTCACGGCCAAGCAATGTTCTTATGAGTTTGATAAATATGTCAGGACTGAAGAGCTATGGTATTCTTAAGCCATTTTTTTAACGCTGACTCATCCAGTTATATTGTTGGGGAGGGGTAGGGGGCAGTGAAGAAAAAAAAAAGAATTGCAATGGCATTACCTGATTGCATCTTTGTTGCATCTTTATAGTTAGTATCTTTAGAAAGAATATCTGCCTTTGTCATTTGACTTTATGGTTTAGTGGTTTTCTAGGTTATATTATACATCTACATGAGTGGTTTCCATGTGGCAAGGCACTGACTAGTCATTTTTGCTTCCCAAATCCCAATAAAATACACCATTTAGTTGGTGCCTAGGCATTCATTAGTTTACTACGAAAAGGAATGTTTTAAATTTAAGATAATGATGCAATCTCATTTATATGTCAATATAGACTGTAAATATGCAATAAAAAGATATGTTATTAGAGAGGTCCACTCATGTGGCATGTGTACAACAGCAGACCATAGATTGGAAAAAGGGCTAAAACTAAAAGAACTCCTCCATTCTTTTTTCTATTATATGCCTTGTTTCAATTTTATATACCTTGACTTGCCACATGCAGAGGCATGAGTAGGGTATCATAGTCTATTTTTATTAATTTTTTGAAAACTTATGCACTAAATCATAGTTATCCACTGAAAATAGTTGATGTTCAGAATCTGAAGAGATGAGATGAGAAAACAGTACCATCATCATCTAAGCTTTATGCCTTTATTCCAACTATATGGCATCAGCTACATGAATCCTGTTTCTTTTCTCCATTCTGTTATGCTTATAGCCATATTCATTGTTAAATCATGAAAGCTTAAATCATTTCTTGCCACTTCAACCCATGTCCTTTTTGGTCTGCCCCTGGCCCTTCCAGCTAGGGGTGTTCAAATGTGGTGGATAAACCGAAAACCGAACCAAACCAAACCGAATAAGCTAATTCGACTATTGGTTCGGTTCGGTTTTTATTTAAAAGATCGGTTTTCGGTTTCGGTTTGGTTTGACTGAAACTTTCAATCGAACCGAACCGAACTGAAAACCGAATTAATGCTGTTATTTAGTTAAGTATATTAAACATTAATGTTTTATTTAATACTTTATGCTAATTAATTATTATATTTCCCAATAAACAATTAATAATAGTTAATTAAAACTTAGACTCATTATTAATTGTTTATTAGTCATAATTGTTCATTAATCATTAATTATTTTTGAAAATGACCAATTCGCCAATTCCCCATTGGCATAGGGATTTGGGCCTATTTTAGCTTTTAATTAATAATAGCTAATTAATTAAAACCATTGGGCTTTGGGGTCGTTTTAACTTTTAATTAATAATAGTTAATAGTTAATTAATTAAAACTATTGGGTTTTGGGGCCATTTTAACTTTTCATTAATAACACTTATTAAATGCTTGTCATTTATGTGGAACCAGGGTCCAACTGAACCAAATCGAACCTAATTTGATTAGGGTCGGTTCGGTTCTAAAATACAATTTGGTTTGGTTCGGTTAGAGAAAATGATAAAACCGAATAGTCGGTTAGGTTCTCGGTTTGAACCAAACTGACCGATTGTACACCCCTACATCCAGCCCCTTCAACCTGCAACCAGTGCTTCTTCTTACACATTCTGATGAGAAAAAAATATCAATAGAAAATAATGTACTTCACCTTGATTTTAAATTTTAGCACACATTTGTGAGGATCAACTGATCTAGTGATAGATAATATGATATAATGTACCATTTAATTCAGCAGCAGAAGTATTGAGCAGAATGAGTAATAACACTACTGTAATTAGTTGACTAGTTTAAAATAAATTGGTGTTTGACTAGTTGTTAGTGAATGCTTATTCATCCCAACCTATGCATACAGGGTATAACTTAGTTGATGGTGCAGTAAGTATAACCCTAAACTGATTAGTAAATTAGCTAGTTGATGCTTTGACAACACTAGCTAAAATACATTTTTTACTATTCCTTTTACCTGTTACAAGAATCTTTGTTATAATGGGCCAGAGTATGTGACATGGTCCCACATGCCAAACCAATCGCAATATTCATTTATTTAATTACATTTTTTTTTCTGATTATAGACTGTGCTTATTTCTTATATAGATAAGCATATTTGTTATCTTCCTACTAAAATGTCTTGGTTCTTAACTGCATGGAGTACTCACTATTCATTATTGGATTGGCTATTTTGAAGGGTTCAATGGTAATTGACATTGGTTTCCATCTGTTTTAGATAGGGGTGCAACTTGGTTGGGCTTGGGTTTGGAATTTGTTAAAATTTCAATAGGCCCTGCCCAAAAGCCCAGACCTGATGCTATTTAAATTCTTCAAATCAGGTACCTGACTTGCACCTCTAGTTTTAGACTTGTTCCTACTGAAGGTATAGAATATTGATATGCACGATACACAATTTTTGCATTTTGTGTGTGTTTCAAACAGTGGATACTTTATTTATTTATTTATTTTTTAATTTTCAGTCTGATAATTGACAGATAGGCTACTGAGGATAGCTACTAACATCCGAAACTGTCAAAACCCCTAAGCTCTTAATACTTATCGTGTCCAAGATCTTTGAGACTGATACGATACACATGATACAATATGATAGACATTGATACTTTGAACCTTGTTCCTATTAATGATTTGAGTATCCATTTATGTGCCTACTGCAATACAATTTTGTCATTTAATTCAAGTTTTGATTTCAAAAAGTCTACATTTGATGCTTGCTCCAATCGGTCATGTCTGTCAGATTCTATAATTCCTCAAATATATTTTTTCTTGAATAGTTTCATCTATTTACTGCCTGATATTTTTCTATTTTCCTTCATTCTTCAGGAATGAGTGAGCAGGATGTTACTGAGTATCGGAAAAGTTTGGCTATACGTGTGTCGGGCTTTGATGTACCCAAGCCTATTAAGACATTTGAGGACTGTGGATTTTCTCCCCAACTAATGAGTGCTATCAAAAAACAAGCTTATGAGAAACCAACACCGATACAGTGCCAGGCTTTACCAATTGTGCTTTCTGGAAGGGATATCATTGGTATTGCAAAAACGGGTTCCGGAAAAACTGCTGCTTTTGTGCTTCCTACGATTGTGCATATCATGGACCAGCCTGAACTTGAGAAAGAAGAGGGTCCAATTGGAGTGATATGTGCACCTACTAGAGAACTAGCACACCAGATATACTTGGAATCCAAGAAATTTGCAAAGTCCCATGGAATACGTGTTTCTGCAGTCTATGGCGGAATGTCTAAACTCGATCAGTTTAAAGAATTGAAGGCAGGCTGTGAGATAGTTGTTGCTACTCCAGGAAGATTGATAGACATGCTAAAGATGAAGGCTCTCACAATGTTTAGAGCCACCTACTTGGTTCTTGATGAGGCTGATCGGATGTTTGACCTTGGGTTTGAACCACAAATAAGGTCTATTGTAGGTCAGATTAGACCGGACCGTCAAACATTGCTGTTTTCAGCAACAATGCCTCGCAAAGTTGAAAAGCTAGCTAGGGAAATTCTAACTGATCCTGTAAGAGTTACAGTGGGTGAAGTGGGAATGGCAAATGAGGATATTACTCAAATTGTTCATGTAATTCCTTCTGATGCTGAAAAGATGCCTTGGCTGCTTGAGAAGCTTCCTGGAATGATCGATGAAGGAGATGTTCTAGTCTTTGCTTCAAAAAAAGCTACAGTAGATGAGATTGAATCCCAGCTGGTTCAAAGGGGTTTCAAAGTTGCAGCTCTCCATGGTGACAAAGATCAGGCTTCTCGCATGGACACTTTGCAGAAATTTAAATCTGGAATTTACCATGTTCTTGTTGCAACTGATGTTGCTGCTCGTGGGCTTGACATCAAATCAATTAAATCGGTTGTGAACTTTGATATTGCAAGAGATATGGATATGCATGTTCATCGTATTGGTAGAACGGGTCGAGCTGGAGATAAAGATGGTATTGCATATACTCTTATCACACAGAAAGAGGCACGCTTTGCAGGTGAGTTGGTCAACAGTTTGATTGCTGCTGGACAGAATGTGTCTGTGGAACTGATGGATCTTGCTATGAAGGTAAGTTTGCATGGAATTTGCAATCAACACAGTTGACACATAAATGTCTTCAATTTGTCTTATTTACTGTACCCATATTTCTTTTCTGGACAAGTTAAGATACCATGATTGCAAAGATTACCTACTCAATAACTACTTTTGTGTTCCTTTGAGGGGAACCAGCTTATCTATTCTTTTATTTTAGAACAATGTTTATGTCTTATAATCGTTGATTGTTTTTTTCTGTAAATTGTTAGGATGGGAGATTCAGATCCAAACGTGATGCCAGAAAAGGATCCAGTATGAATTTTCAATCTTTGCTATAACATTCTTTATAGGGAATGTTCCTTTGATCAGTGGTTTGCAGATAATTAATTAATGTATTCTTTGGAATTATTTTCTGATTACTGGGTATTAATTATTTCTAGGGTTTTTGAATTTTGCCCTCATTTTAATTTATCCATTAGGAGAGAAAATTTAGGCAATCATTAAGACAAAGAGACAGTTACCATTCCCAATATATATATATATATATTAAGAAAAAGAGACAGTTACCATTCCCAATATATATATTAAGAAAAAGAGACATGAATCATACATATATGCATATTGGGGAATTATATTACCATCTGCAAATATCGAGGAGTTTGTTTATTGGTAGGATATAAAGATAATCGATATTTCAATGCTTTTTTTTGCACCATAAGAAGAAGATGAAGCTTTAATAGAGTACTTTGACAAGAGAATTCTTTACAAAATTATTTCCTTTGTTCTTTGTGCAGGTGGGAAACGAGGAGGAGGGAGGGGAAAAGGAAGTGGTGGCCGAGGTGTCCGTGGTGTGGATTATGGCCTTGGTATTGGATATAATCCAGAGTCGGCAAATACACCATCTCAATCTGTTCCAAGTCGATCGTCTGCTGTCAATGCCCTAAGGACAGGAATGATGGCACAGTTCAAAAGCAACTTTGTAGCTGCAAAATCGGATTCTCAAAATAGTAGCTTCTCAAGCGCAAACGTGAGCAAGAGGCCAGTCTTGCCTGGATTTGTCTCTGGTGGTTCAATAGGTGGAGATGCAAACAGAACTCAGACAACAACTTCATTCAATCCTACTCCATCAGGTGGACAAACCACTTCTGGGAGTTCCAAAGAAAATGGAAGTCAGAAGAAAATGGAAAGGTTAGTTGTCTGAAGTCAACCCTGCATGTTTTGAAACTTTGAATTGGTGGTGTTTTTTTTTTTTTTTTTTTTTTTTTTCTTTTTAATACAATTGATTTTGATTCTGAAAGATATTTTATTATTTTTATGGTTTTCAGTTCTGGAGATAGGCCTAGAGAAAGGCGGAGGCCCTCTGGTTGGGATCGTTGATTTATGCAATTGATGGATATTGCTCCTGCATGTGACCAAGTAGTGTTCTCTCCTAAGATAAATTGTGGTATGATCCATGTCTGTATTACTAGCTTGCAACGGGTCTTTTTTTTCTTGTACTTGACAAGGCTTTTTGTGTAGATTCTAATTAGCTAATATATTCATTGTGTTTTCAGTCTTTTCAAACTGATTTATAGCACACTGCTAAATTTTTGGTCTTGTTTTACTTCAAATGATTTATACCTTTGATTCCTAGAATGGACCTATGCCTGTTTCCAAGCTTCAGCAGGCCCTGATACTTGAAATAAAAGGGCTTTGGGGTTTTGTTCGGTTTCAAGGGTTAGGTGGGATAAGACTGACCCCCTGATCTATTTTTGAGAAAAAAAACTAAAAAATGGGAGGCATTGATAGAAACACCTGATATGCATCTTCTAGCGTATCGAGGTGTATCAATGCTTTGAACCCTGCGTATTTCATTCCAGTGCACTGTGTCAAAGATATGCTATCTTGTGCGACCATGGCTTCATTTATTAATAGCATTTCTTCATCTTAGAAGGGGCAGTTAACTATACTCCATTTATTAGTTAGCTGTAGTTTGATGAGATAATCTGTTTTTATTGTAGTACAATTCTTTAGCTCAATTGTTTTGACTTAAGAAGGAGCTTTAGAGGGAGCAAAATGGGAAAAGAGGCAAGGAGAACGGTCACAGAAAGGAGATTTATGAAGGACAAAACTAGACTAGAATTTGGGGCTAGAGGACCCCTAAAATGGTTGTGGTGCCATAACTTCCTACCATGTCCAAATTATGAAATTGGGACACATCAAGGAATGAATCTGGTCGTCAAAGGGCACCGATCTTTTTTTTTTTTTCTTTATTTTTTGGTGCAAACACTCTCTTAGATGTTATCTATAATATGGTGGGTTTAGACCCTCTTAACATCCAGTAATTGGATTATGGAAGCTTATGAGTGCGGTGTCTCCACTCCAAGAATATGCTATTTGTTATTGATCAAAAAAGAATATCCTATTTGTCCTTAGATATATAGCATGGTGGTTTGACATAGGGGTGATCATTTCCAGCCTGACCTGGAAATTCCAGGCTTGGGCCTAAGTTGTGTGCAGGCCCGACCAGTCCCTGGCCCACAATATTAATATATATTATTAATTTATTATACATTATATTGTATTTTATACTTTATATATAAATATTATAATTGGACACTTATACTTAATATTTTATATTATGACATAATATAAAAATTTTAAATATTTAATATTTAACAAGTAAAAGTCATAGGCCCAGAACCCCGGCCTGTCTCAACCGACGATCATCCCTAGTTTTATATCAGAATAGTGCTACAGAGATATTGATATGATTATGGACATGTATAATGTTGTAACCAGTGTGGACACATTTTAAGGAGAGACATGATATTGAAAAGAACTGAGAGTTTCCAATTACCATATGTCTAATTAAGTGTTGGCTTTGAGTTTATTATTGTTTTTGTGATGGCTAAGTAGGCATGTCAAGGAGGTTTTTTTTTTAGATGAATAATAAAGCAATCTCATTAAAAATTTTTAAGACGGATTTACAACTGACACAGCATTTAGTTTTCCCAAAAGCCGCAAGATGCAGCCTCAAAAACAATATAAATTACAGTGTAGCCTAGAATAATTGACCCCTATTCACCCCTTGTTTAGCTAGTAGGTCTGCCAGCCTATTTTCCGATCTTCTTTCCCACTGAACTCTGACTGTTATATTAGAAGTTAGCCATTTGAATCTTCTCAACGCTTCCCTGAAAGGCCAAGCTGCTGTCTCCGGTTCATTCAGCCACCGTATTACCACTTTAGAGTAGGGGTGTTCACGGTCCGGTTCGGTGAAGATCTCAGACCAAACCAGTAAATTACGGTTTGAGAAATTTCTAAACAGAACCAAACCGTTTTGGTATGGAAACCAAACCAAACCGTTTTATTACGGTTTGGTGTGGTTTTTAATACGGTTTGGGGACTTTGGACCATTCTATGGTTCTTTTGGGCTTAACCCAATTAGAAAGCCCAAATAGCTCCCCTAAAAATTAAAACTTAAAACTTTTATTTATTATTTTATTATAAAATAAAGAGTTCATTATATATTTATAATTTTACGTATTCCCATAGTTGTCAAGGTGACTAGGCGAGACTAGGCAACCATGGGGCACCCGGGTGCCTAGGCGATGGAATCTGACAAACTATTTTATAAGTTTGGGAACTAGGAAGGGAGTAGAGTAGGTTCGGCTGTTAAAAATAATAAGTCGCCTAGTCGCCTAAGCGGGCGGCTAGGCGACTAGAAGGGAGGAGAATATGGGTGGGGCCCCTGTTTTTTTCGAAAAAAAAAGCATTGAATCTGGGCTGGAAGAAGAAGAAGAAGAAGGGAGGAGAATAGGGGTGGAGGCCCTGTTTTTTCGAAAAAAAAGCATTGAATCTGGGCTGGAGGAGGAGGGGGCGGAACCCCTGTTTTTTTGAAGAAAAAAAGAACTGAAGCTGGGCTGGAAGGAAGCTGGATTTAGGCACCCACCTAGTCGCCTAGGTGCCCACCTAAGTCTGGGCGGTCGCCTAGTATACAAAACAATAGGCGTTTAGGCGAGGCGACACTGTAAAACCGCCTAGTCGCCTAGGCGTTCACCTAGGCGTCGCCTTGACAACTATGCACATTCCATTTAGATATTTTATATATAATGTTTATATATCATATATTCATATTATATATGTATATAAATCTTCGGTTTACGGTGTGGTTCAGTTAATAAAGTTCAATAAACCAAACGAAAACCGCAAACCGCAATTTAGAAAATTCTCAAACCGAACCAAACCGTTTATAGGTATAAACTGAACCAAACTGCAAATTGGGTTTGGTTCAGTTTGGTTTTGTGGTTTGAACCATATAATGAACACCCCTACTTTAGAGTCACCTTCTATGATCAGATCTCTGATGTTCATCTCTTTGGCAAATTGAGCCCCCTGTAAAACAGCTTGCACCTCTGCACTAACCGCATCTCCCACTTCAATTGGACCGGAGAATAAAGCCACTATCTGGCCCTCTGCATTCCCGAATGCTCCACCAATCCCAGAGGGCCCAGGATTACCAAGGCTGCTTCCATCAAAGTTTAGTTTTGAGGAGGTTCTCTAATGCAGCTGTATGAACATGGTATAAAATTGGTTTTGAGTACAGCAAAGGGGTAACCGGTTAAGTGATTGGTTCTATGGGCAGAAACCAAAAAAAGGTTATAATACCAACCATGTTATGTGGGACATATTGAGCAAACATGAAATTTGAACAAATAAAATTTGTCCAACTGAGATGCTGTTGCTGCATTGAGTGGCAAGAGTAGGATGGATAAAATCAGAAGCGAAGTGTTTGTGAATTGAGGTTGCTGGATAGGTGAGAAGTATAGGCAATTTGACTGAAATGGTTTGACATTGTGTGCAAAAGAGCAATATCTGTATTGTTGGCTAGTGAAAAGAGAGACTTGAGTGCCTGCAAAACATAGCTCATGTGTTCCAATGCTTCTGCTTTATTCTCACCCCGTTAATTAGGACTTTCCAAAAGTTTTTGCCTGTTCACTAAATGGCCCAATTAGCATTGGTGAATGATGTGTGGATTTATTGGAGTAATACCCTAGAAAGATCCATAATCCCCTCGCTCAAAAGAAGCATAATGCCCATGGAACTTGCAGAGATATATTTGCCATTTCTCATAATGCATATGCACGTGTCTATAGGCTTTGTTCTTTAAGGTACTGCTGTGTTGTTGATTTTTCGATTGCTGGTTGTCCAAAGTAAAGCTATCACCTTGGGAAGCTCTTCTTCCATGGAAGTCAGGAATGGGATATTTTTTGGTAGAGATAGGAAGAAATTTTGAGTTGGTCAATTATCATTACTACTATAGTAGCACTGGTTGAAATTTCTTTACGTGTCAAAGATATTGATTGAAGATAATGTGGATATTTTAGCAGCAGTTTCTTTTTGACACCAAGAAGTCCAAGTTGCTCTGTAACTTTGCAAATTTCTGCAGAATATCAATTTTTATTTAGAAAGATTTTGTACAAAAGAACAAAAATGAAAAGATATATATTCAGCTGAAATCTTTAGGAAATTCAAGATTTCATAGAATCACCCACGAATGTGTATCTTCCTAGGCAAGCTTTGCCCCCTCTATTGGGCAAAATTTTGAATTAAATATCGAATGCACAAAATTTTGGTGACTAAAGAATCATTTTAAACTTGTAGCGAGACTTGGTTAGGATCATCAAATGTGCCAATCATATTTTCTAAATATGTGGTGCCTTTTATTTTTCATGTTCTTGATCCATGTCCATGCTTTAGTTATCCAGGCCAAGTATTTTTCATTCTGTGGCTGCGACAACCTTAATCACCTGAACATTTAGCTTATTAGTGTTTTTAGATGTGTCCACTCTAAATGATCATGGTATATGCCTGCGGCAGGAAACATAGTAAACCTCAGGTCTTCAGCAAGAATGGGCTTATTCTGCCAAACTTCACACTGGAGTTCATGGTACATTGGCAGGTATTGTTGTTTTAAGTGGGTTCTACTGTAATGGTCGATAACCAATTAGCATGTAAGAGTGACTTTGATGCCCTAATCCTTTTTTTTTTACAACTCATTAGGCAATTGTAACTTAAGAGTGAAAAATGGAGACTTTATGATACCCTAACTCTGGAAGAAGAGATGAGGAAGTTTCTCTGTATGTGATGAAGGGCGTGTCTGTGTGTATTCTTCTCTTTTCCTCATGGTTTACGGAAGGTCATTGCAAAAATGTTCGGTGCAATTGTAAATGTTGGGTTCATAAAATTGCTGAGTTTGTTTGATTTTGCAATGACAATTTTGTACGCTTTCCAAATGATTTTGACTTAAAAGAGACTGGAATCCACTTTTTTACATTGATCAACATCGAGTTCATTTTGAATTCAAATATTTCTTATCAAACACTTGCAAAACCTTCATTTACACTCTTCCCAAATGGTGCCTTTAATAGAAATGGTAGCTGTGGCAACCAAGGTTATTGTTTGTTTGTTTGTTTGTTTTTTTTTTTTTAATTTTTTTCAAGACCGGTTCTAGTAGGGGCAACTAATTCATGTACATATGCTAATGACGTTTTTTAACTATTAACTAATCCGGTGGTTGAGATGGTCAGTGTCTCTCCAAGCCCCAGAGGCTTGGGATCAATCCACAACCGTATCTGCCCCTAATAAGACGGGACGGGATCTAGTAGGGGCAATATAGTAAACATGTTCAAAGAGCACTTGATAAATATTGACAATTGTCATTAGTGGTTTTTAACTTTTTCAAGGGTAGGCTGAGTATTTTAAGGGACTGGTATCAAAAAATTTTCCAACTGTTCATTGAATATACATATAACGTTTGTGTCTACTTGATCCGGACTGCCCCTTAACGCTCCCTCTAAGTCTGTAAACCGCCTGTTGTTGGCTGTTGCAAAATGAAATAATTTGCACAAGAGAAGTTCTCATTTGTGTCCCACATGCACATCTCAGCGTGCATCGGAAATTTTTCCGGTACTTGTCATCGGGATTTGTTGTTGTGGGATGCCAATATCAACTCCAATGAATATTTGTCAAATAGCCTGAGATCAAGGTTCAAAGTATCGACGTATATCGGCCCATATTGGTTGATACGTATCGTTTTGGCATTCCACCGAAATGCCCCTACAGTAGGTGTATCAGTGGTCTGACTGGTTCAGGGTGTGGCGAAGACCTAAACCGGCTCCCTTGAACCAAATGGCAAAAAATACCATCAAAAGGAATATTGATTTGTCCGATACGCCCATACTGGCGTATTGGGTGTATTGATATGGCATAGGTGTCATTGGAACTTGGTTTGAGTCTTCATAAAACCATAGCTGTGGCTACCGTGCATTGGGAATATCTCCCGATGGTTACAAGTGGCTGTATGGTAAGAGCACGGCCTTACGAGGATTGAATCCAATCTTGTTCAAGAGTTGAAATCACTTCTTAATAAAACATGTTCCAACACCCTCCACAAACCCACCATGTATGAGATGTCTGATGTCAGATCATGTTGGGAGGGTGGTGTTAGAATTCGTTTTGTTGGCAGGTGATCCGGATTCATCAGTTAATCGGTTTCAAGTTTTCCAGCATCGTGTCTGTCTTTCTGTATCATAGTAGAACCCTTGCACAAAATTCGTTTCAAGTTTCATTAGCCTCAAGTGCCTGCTCTACCACGATGACCGGCAGATAGAGTCCCGATCTGCTGACCACATGATGCAGGCCATTGATGGCCACACATCAAGAGCATCTGTATAATTTACGTTTTACATTCATTGGAAATGTTCCTGATGTGCGGCTATTATGTCGTATTCAGGATGAGGCTAACGTCATGTGGTTAGTAGACCCAATCTCGCAGCAGAAGTCATATAGAAAGTCTTGGTCTGTTGCTGAAGTGATTTCATGGCTTGCAAATGCCCTTTTGAGTTTCTTGGTTTGATTGGTTGATTTTTTAGGGATTTAAGTGTTTTCCAATGTTTTAAAAACTGACCCCGAGGCTGAACCGTTTTTGCCTCCGGGTCGTGGGTCATCGATTCAACTGCCCGAGTCAGACCATGCCATGTTAGCAATACATAAATTCATACATATATATGTATAAATATGTATTTTATCAATAAGTAATATATAATTATGTTCTATATGTAATAATGTATTATTTTATGTTTTAATTTTGTTTTAAATTTTTAATTTGTAAAAAATATTAAAAATTATAATTTGAAGCCAAAAAGGGTTTTTTTTGGCGAAAATAGCAGGGCAACGTGCCTATGGTCCATTGGGATGCATAAATCTTGAAAAGTTACTAAAAAAAAAAAACCTTCAATTAGACATCAGAGTATAAAGTTATAGCCTCCCGAAGTTTGCATACGCGTTTTATTTACAACCTGTCACCTGATCATCGGATTGAATGGATCAACGGTCCAACCTTTTGAACCAAACGATTTTTGACCATCCTCTGGGCTTTATTAAAACTATACCCAGAATCTTACGTAAGTGATGGTTTCAACCCACTGTCTCTCTTTCCTACTTTCAGCCTTATGTCTAGGAGGGTATTTGGTAGCGACCGTAGTGTTGCGTTGCACAGGTGTTCCATTTGTACTTAGATCTAAACTTAAGAATCAAAATGGATACACAATAGTTCCGTAAAAAGGTTTCATGCTTAAGGCTGCATTTGTTTGCGATGTAAAATCCAGTTTAGTGTATTTTTAGACAATGGTTCACTTTTGTATGCGTCCGGATGGAATGTAAAATAAGAACAATAATTGATGTAAAGAGCATTTAAGCATACCTTTACATCAATTTTGATGTGAAAATTACATTGAAAAAACTCTCGAGTTCTTCATCGATGTAAAAGTAACGTCTCTCTTCTTCGAAAACTGCTCCGTCAATGTCGTGGTTTCAATATTTGCCGGTGCCCTCCTGTTTCCATCGTGGTTTCAATCTCTATGCGACCCTCTTCTTCTCTCTTCCACTCTCTCACATTATTTGTTCCCCTTGTGCCAGGTTCGGACGCTTTCTCCATCTCAGTGGGGACGCTCCAATGGTCGAGGCATCTCATCGTCCCATGATCCCATCATTCCCATCAGGCCATCACCCAGCTACCGCTAATCCCCCCCACCAAGCACCCTAAAAAAATGCAACTTTAAGATCATGCAAGCAGAACTGATTTGATCTATGCTCTGTTATGAAAGCTCTCCTTGCAATGGAGCTCTTTCGCTCTTCGTTCCTAAATTTTATCAAAACATACAGATCAATCTTACCTGTAAGAGTGGCGCTCTGTTATGAAACCTCTCCTTGCAATGTTGTAGCTTCTGGCCTTCTATGAAGTACGAATTACGAAATCTGTGTGCTGACCAGCAACTGGTCAAGCCAAAGAAGTCCTGGGGCCTCAAAAGTATGATATTGTTTGGATCATGTGCTCTGAAACTACTCCTTTTTCTTACTATTTTTTTGATAATTACTCCTTTTTTTTACTTATTCTCTACTTCTCTTTCAAATGCACACTCGAGCTGAAGTTCCCATCAGAAACTTAACTTTCTATTCCAATCCAGCGGCAAATTTCAGAAAAATCTGCTCAACCTCCTCCTCTCAGCTGGGTTTATTACAAAGCAAGGAGCTCTGTGTTTATTATGAATTCCACATCGATGAGAGGCCGTTAATCAAAACATGGGTGTACTTTTACACTGTTGATTCACTCCAAACACATAAAACATCCATTGATGATTTTACTCCGTTCTGCCAAATGCACAAGAATGTAAAACACGCATTCGACCAGATGCAACCTAAGGGTTTAAGCTTAAGAGAAATGTTTTGTTGGCACAAAACAGAAAACAGAAATCGTTTTATGCCATTGGGTACCAAATAAGAAAGTAGAGCAACACCCCACGCAAATCAAAGCCTCTTTACTGGGAAGCTGAGTACAAATTATATTGTTCCTATTCTAAGTCAAATCTGTTCTACCAAAAGAGACATTTTCGATGTTAATATTTATCGTTCATGGAATGCTTGCATAAAGTCAAGAGAAAACCACTTAATGCACTTATCTGGACAAATTTTTTTGGGAAACACTTACGAGTATTTTTCCTGTTTTGCAATTAAAGTTAAATAATGATAGTTTTATCCATAAAGTATCATTATTGAAGGGACAATATTGTTCTATCATATGTTAAACAAATTTTCCCATGGACTAAAAAGTTACTTATCTAGGTAGCTAGAGGGTAATACTTGCCCAGATAATTAAGCCGTTCAGAAATCATTATGAGAGTTGAGAAAATAGATACCATAATTAAAACCTAAATCAATCTTTACCCAACTACTTTAACAGTTGAACAGGTTTGAGTATGAATGGGACAATGGGATGAGTGTCTATTTCCGCCACCCCGAATATGATGTCCAATCTAGCTTTCTGGGTTATTCTGCAATTTTTTTCTTGATAAAACAAGTACGGTTATACAAGACCGGGGGGTAGCACATCCCCAAATATCAGCACAATAAATATCTCTTAAAGAACTGGGAAGAGAAGGGAAAGAAACATCATTGGAATGAGCAAAATTCGCAAGCCAATCAACTACACGATTGCCTTCCGTTAGGTGTGACAATACGCGACCTCACCATCAATCCTCTTGATCAAAGACCTGCATCCTTCAATTGTCATTCTTAGTCTCCATGGAGGGTCCACATGGTTCTTCAAACTGTTGAGAACCAACTTAAAATCCTCTTCAATGATGATAAATTTGCCATTGAAGTTGGAGCAAGATTGTAGGCTTCCCAAGCAATTCAAGCTTCAGAAAGATTAATAGTCATACAACCAATTCCGTATGTTTTGAAGTCCAAAACCTGACCCTGGTGATTTCTGGCCACACAAGCTGTAGAGCATCGGTTGTTGATGCAAGAAGCATCAAAATTAATTTTGATTTCATCCATTTTTGGACTTATCCACATGACTGGGATACACTTTAATCATTCTTTGTATCACTATCAAAACTCAAAACTAACTCAATAAAGGAGTTCCGAGCTCTATCAATGATTATAGGAGGAGGCATAATCTTGTTGAAAACTGTGTTATTGCGATTCTTCCAAATATGCCAAAGTAAAATAGCAAACTTTTCTTTTAGTAATGGTACCTTTGTATCCCTTCTAGTGTTGCAATCCAAAGAAATCCACCAATCAAGAACAGAGTTGTTATTCTCAAGAGGTACCGGAATGGAGTCTCTCGTGATGAGCCATATTTGTTTAATAAAATGGCACTTTGTGAAGATATGATTGACATCCTCCTCTTCACCACAATAGCTACAGTTGCCATCTATATCAAATCCTCTATCCCGAAGGGACATCTTAGAGGGAAGTTTGTTGTTCAGCAAAAGATACAAGAAGATTTTAATCTTAGGAGCAATTTTCAAGCTCCATACATTGTTGATTTCCTTGTCATCCTAGAAGAGTTCCCATGCATCAGACAAGCCTCACTATAGGCAGATTTGATTGAAAATTTTCCACTTGGGTTAGGCTTTCAGATGAGTTTGTCATCATAAACCCTAGAAGGAATAAATAGAGTTTTTATTTTCTCCTACGCACTCAGAGGAACTAAATTTTTAATAGTCTTCCCTCCAAGTTCTGTTATGTTGATTGATGACTTCACTAACTCGGAGGTCTAAATTAATCTTAGGGTTCCTCATCTGACCACCTATCAGTCCAAAATTTGATTCTTTTTTGTCAAAAATTTTTTCTCAGCAAATATTTATTACTCACAACTTGAACCCATAAGTTTCCTTTTCATTCAGCAATTTCCATCCTTTGCAAATTTGTCTTGAGTTAGTTTTCATTTGTTTCTGTGATGTAAGGGACAATTTTATATAATTAATACAAAATACACAAGGCTTTAATTACCTCAATATACAATGTTTGTGATACTCGTAAATACACAAGGCTTTAATTACCTTCAGGTTCAAGACAGGGATTACAGCTTTATACTTTGGGACATTGCACAGTCTCGCATTTTTCGAGAATTTGTCTACGTCGAGTGGCATTTGGGCATATGTCCAAGCAGGGCTCCTTGAGGGTCTTATCCTCTGTAGGCAGTGGAGGGCTGACCCCAAACTTGAACTGACAAGAAAAAATATGTGATAAGATATAGTTGTCAAAACTCATAACCGTGTTTTGAGCAAATGAAACTGAACCGTGGATGATGAAAGATAATACAAAAAAAAAAAACATTTCCTTTTTACATCAAATATTAGCAAAATAAATTCCCTTTCAAATATTTATTAATTATATATAAAAGGCATTGCTTCTAGAAATATTAAAGCGAACATCAGAAAATTTTTCCCAGTCTTAATTAATGCTTAAATTTGGGCACATGTTTTAATAAGTCCACTTTTTTCCCCATTTACCTGATGTGAAAAATAAAGAGAACATATAATGCGTGCTAGTTTTTTTTTTTTTTCTTTTAATGGGTTTTGTGTTTTGGCTGACACAGTATAAGACAGTAATCAGATGATAAAGAATCCACGTAAGACTATAAGAGAGACATACTATCCATAAAATTACTCATATTATCTGTCTGCAAAAGAAATAGAATAGCAACTGGAAATGGCAACAGATGAGGTTAGGTTAGATATCCTCTGTCAAGTGAATTGTGTTACCTGACAGCTGTAATCACTGAAGTTTGGCTCCATTAATAAAGGGACACCCATGTAATCCTTGAAGAAAGCCTAAGAAAGAGAATAATTCGAAGGAGTCACATATGAGGAGTTTGTTCTATGAATTCAAACAACTGCTGAGAAAACTATAAAAAGAAAAAGAAAAAGAAATTTAATAAGAATTCCATGTATAAAGGACAAAAACCAAGGTGGTGATTTGGTTACATCTAAATTTTGGCAAATAGTTAATACTCCCTATTATCAATGATTCACTGTGAATTCTTCAAAGGACAAAATACCTCTGTATGATAACTTATTTTATAATAAATGGTAATATCTTTTGTCCTTTTGCTGGGAAATGATCTGTTTATCAAAAATTGAGTGTATCCAAATCAGCATCATGTATATCCAGATCCAGTTAGTTAGAAAGCAAATAGCTATTACATTCTTATGGGGATGCAGAAAATGTAAACAAATGCTTGAACTTTTCTTTTGTTACATATGTGCAGAGTACTCTAATCGGCAGTCTTCTCTTTATTAAAGATAATTTGACTTGCAGGCATCTTAAACAATTGAACTGATCTTTCTAGATGGCTCTAAATGATAGAACAAAGATGTGCAAGTCAATCTAAATGCCTCCAGAAATACTACTGAAGTAACAAAAGGAAGCATAAGCATCCAATTCACTGCTATGCAGAGAACAGAACCAAAACTTAAACCAAGAAAGCATATACAATGATGCCATTTTGCTTTAGTCTATATTCATTCTGGGATCTTTCAACAAGATGATGTTGAATCAAATGTTCTTTCACTGATATTAATCAATTGATTTCAGATTTACAATTTTGAAACAAGTCAAATAACAGTTTGCCAAACTTATGATTGTACCAGGATTCTCAGTGGAACCTCTCCAAGCCAATTCACAATAACTCATCATTTCACATCCAAATAAACATTTCATAGTTCACTTGAAAAAAGAGGAGAAAAATGAATAGTATATAAGCATAATTTATCGAGCACTAACCTGGGTTGGCAGCTTACATGTATTGATACAAATTCCGATGCATTTGCTTTCTTCCAAGTATTTGCATCTTTCTACAAAGACCTGGGTGAAAAATTGCATGCACAGTATGGTAAATAAATGCCTAGAAAATGATAAATAAGCACAATTTTATCAGAATATAATGTTGAACAGTGCAAATTAGTACCCCAGTTGTGCAAGACGATCCATCAGGAAGATCAACAGAGTTAACTGTGCATGATCCCATCAACCATTGACAAGACAGCGCAGTTACCCTGGCTTCAAAAGAAAGGATCTTAGGTGATTGCTACCAAATATATCATTCAATATATACTTAGTTATTTAGATTCTCATACATGTGCTTTGTTCACAGATCAAAATTACAGTCATATGTCTGAAATATTAACTTACCAACCATCATGGAAGCTACTTTTCCACCATCTATAGGTGCTATAAGCATTTTAAAAAGTTCTAATAGAAAGGGAGGAAACAGTGATCTTAATATCCTGACCTGCCATGGCAACAAGGGTAGTTAGCATTTAGCAAGGACTCTCTTATTATGGCCATTTGACATTTGTGTATGAAATTGAACAATCATACATCATCAATATGTAAATGATTAACTTATTGAGTTTCTTGAATCTCATCAGAGCATTACTCAATTAAAAGTTAAAACTGGTAGCACTAACTATTCCGCTTGGGTTATATATTGTCAATCTTTTCAACTCAATAAAAATAATAGGGTTTACTCCGAACAATCACAAAGTTAAGACTTCAGATACCGCCGCTTCCGCAGTTTCAGCATTGCTTCGACCATTCATCATGAGACGGTTTGCAACTTCAATTAATCCATCGTAACCAGGCTTCTCAGAATCCCATCCAACCTCCTGCGTAGCCCTTGGCAAATAAAGCATTTTAATCACATTAAAAGGTCCAACATGACTCATACAGTAATTACTTAAAAGGCATGAAGAGTAGAGCACCGTCGGCATCAGGAATAAAAGCACAATCAGAACCATTTTCGTAGCGATATGTGCATTGAAAATCCAACTGACCTGCACCATTTTGTTCCTGAACAAAGCGAGAAACAAGTTATCGAAGATGCCGGGCTTGTATTCGGATTTCAAATCCGTATTCGTTGCTTCAGTCTGGAACATGAGAACAAAAATTGGAAAATGCAAAGAAAGAAATTGATAATCGAGAATTAATGGATGGAAGGAGCTGAGTATACAGAGCAGAAGATCGAGGAATCTCACCGCTTGCGATTGAATTGGGGAAGATAAAACGGAAAAGCCAGGGCTTTTCAGGCGAGATTTTGATCGCAGGGAGCACTGTGAAGGGAAAGAGAAAGTGAGAAGACGAGGAAGAGCCAGAGGCCTCATCGGAGAAGAGAATGGAAGTCGCTCTTCCTTCGAAGCCGATAGACATGGCGGATTTGAGCGGGTGATAATTTGTCTGGCCGAAACCGAAAGGAACCACACTCCAGACTCCAATCGGGGCGTTCAGTGAAGTTATTCTAGACGGCTTCTTCTCGCACGATTAAATCTATTCCACGTGCGGTTCTCTACGTCGGCTTTTTTTATTGGTTGAACAGCCCCAAGTTCCAACTCAGCAAGTGCAGCCGATCTGGTCTCCAGGATAACGGGGCAATCCTGTCTTCTCTCTGCACTGAAAAGTAGACGGTGTTCAGTGGGCTGAACGATTTAGCTGTTCTCTCTGCACTGAAAAGTAGAGTAGAGGAATTCGCATTAGCTGAACGCTTTAGCTGTTCAGTGGGCTGTGGAACCCCACTTATGTATTTAATAACCTTTATCATTGATTCCACAGCCGGCTGAACAGCTAAAGCGTTCAGCTTTCAGCTGAACCTTGCTCAGAGTAGAGAGAGCAAAAATGGAGAGACAGAGATACCAGCCAAAACCCTAACTAAACCTCAGAGTCAGACTGAGAGAGAGAGAGAGAAAGAGAGAGAATGCTGAGAAACTTTAAGCGGATGCTGTGGCGTGGGGCGGAAACATCTAGAAGGCTATGTAGTGTAGCGTCACAGACAAAGGATCGAGCTCAGAGTAGGTCACCGGCTCGGAGGTTCAGGGGATCGAAAGAAGCTTCGAATCTCTACCATCGAATAACACGTTTGGAGCCCAGCAATGAAGGAGTGATTCAAGCTATGAACGACTGGGTGGTGAATAAGGGAAAAACGATTTGCAGGTACGACATCTCCAACTTCGTCAATCAGCTTCGCAAGTACAAGCAATTTAGCCTTGCTCTCCAGGTTGGTGCCTCTCTACTTGTTCTTTCTCTGTTTTCATTTTTCTTATTCCAGAATATACACCACGCTTCTTCTCTTCTCAACTAACCTTGTCATGATCGTGAATTCACGTTTGGACTTCCTAAACTGATCTCCATCCACCTCATTGAATCATTTAGTGAACATTTCAGTAATTTGTGTTGATAAATCTGATTTTCATTATTAATCATGAGTCGAACCACACAAGATTAGGCCAACAATCACAGTATTTGATCGGGTTGCATGTTGAGCCCCTTCTCTCCTATCAGAAAGATAATATAATTTGTTCTTCTAGTCTTTCTATCTTCAGCTCCGAATGTAATTCTTATATTTGTTTATATGGAAATTCTTTCAAGTAATTAAATCACCAAAGGGAAATAATTGGAAGATTATAGCCCTGTTATCACTAAATCATCTCAAGTTTGAATGAGCTACTTTGAAGGTCTACTATTGTTTATATGGAAATTCTTTCAAAGTAATTACATCACCAAAGGGAACTAATTGTAAGATTATAACCCTGTTATCACTAAGTCATCTCAAGTTTGAATGAGTTACTTTGAAGGTCTACTATGTTTTCACCCATATACTATATCTGCATCATGTAGGGGATCAGTTTTACATTCTACAAGGCTTGTAATTAAAATTTTCAAGTTTTGTTATTGATTACCACCATGGAGACTGGAGAGAGTTTAACCTATTCTGCTATTCAACCTGTTCTTGTTTTCTTATGCACAGCTACTGGAATGGATGGAAAGGAGGGGTATGCACCTAACCTACGGCGATCACGCCTACCGAATAGACCTGTTATGGAAAGCGGAGGGAATATTGTCAGCAGAGAAGTATTTCACAGACCTACCGAAATCCTTTCAAAACAAGTTCACCTATGGAGCCCTTCTAAATTGTTACTGCAATGAGAAAATGGTTGATAAAGCAATGGCCCACCTTAGGAAGATGAGGGAACTGAACCTTGCTTCAAATGCTCCTGCTTACAACAGTCTAATGACCCTTCACATGAAGCTAGGGGAGGCTGAGAAGGTTCCAGTTCTAGCACAGGAGATGAAGGAGAAACTTATTGAGCCAGATAGTTTTACTTATAATATATTGATGAGTAGTTATGCCTCTCTTAAGGATATTGAAGGAGTGGAGAGAGTTATGGAGGAAGTGAAAACAAGAAGTGAGATTGATGGCAACTGGACCATGTATGGGAGCCTGGCTGCAGTTTACATTGCATCTGGACTATTTGAGAAAGCTCAGTTAGCACTGAAGGAGCTTGAGCAAAGAAATAAACCTAAGGATCGAGAGGCCTTTCATTTCCTCCTCAGCATGTATGCAAGCATTGGCAATGCAGCAGAAGTTAACCGAGTTTGGCAATCTCTAAAATCTGCATTTCAAAAGACAACAAATCTCAGTTATCTCACCATGCTTCAAACTCTTGCTAGACTTGATGATTTGGATGGCCTTGCAAAATGCTTTGAGGAATGGGAATCAGGTTGCTCAAGCTATGACATAAGGTTGATAAATGTTCTGATGGGTGCTTATCTTAAGCGAGATATGATTCAAGAAGCAAAATTGCTTCTTGAGAAAGCCACAAGGAAGGGATCGAACCCCAACTACGCAACTTTCATGATGTTCGTCGATTTTTATGTGAAGAATCAAGACATGGATTGGGCACTTAAGTGTATGGATACAGCAATCCCAAAGGTGAAGGAGCATGAGTGGAAGCTATATCGAGAAAGATCATACTTTCTTCTGAAAAACTTTGAGGAAGAAAAGGATGTTGATCATGCGGAGGAGCTTTACAGGATCCTGAAGCGTGCTAATTGCCTTGACCAGGAGGTATACAATTTTCTTATTCGTACATATGTTGTAGCTGGAATGGTGGAGCCTCAAATGCGTCAGCGTATGGAAGCTGATGGGATAGAGATCATGCCTGAAACTGAGAGGCTGCTTGAAAGTATATGTCCAGATTAATCTTCTATAATTGGGATATCAAATGCAATCGATTAAAGAGGCCTTGAGGCTAGGCTTTGCTTTGTAAACATCCAAGGCTAATGAAAGCAAAAAGGGAAAACTCCGGGGTAGAACCAATGCATTCTTTAATATATTTTTTGTGAGGAATAAATGCACTTGAAACTTAAGAGTCCATTTGGATCACAGTGAGAACCGGAATCAAAATCCTCTCGAATTGGAATTGGAATGATCTATTCCCAATTTCCCATTGTCTGTTTGGTTCAGACAAGAATTGGAATAAGCTGGAAAAGGATTTTTTTTTTCCCAGGGGAGGCATTCTCTCAAATGGGGAATGCCATTCCCATGGATTCCGATTTCACCCAACCAAACAGTTTGAATCTGAATGGCTCATTCCAATTCAAATTTCAAACCCCTATTCTCACAAATCAAACGGGTTCTTAGTTCAGAATTCAGCTACATTCTTCAGATCTTGTGTGGAGGAAGCTAAATGCTTCCATTTTCGCATCTGAGATACTCTGCACTAAGTTCAGCTGTTGAAATTTGCAAGGTCAGGATAATTCATTTTTGATTGGCGATGTTGATGAACTATGGTACAGTTATCTTGTGTTAACAGTTGCCTTTTGAGCGGACATGCCATACCGGGTCCAACAATTTGATGGTTTTGAACGTTTCACTGGGCTAACCGCACGGTTGGAACTGTAGAACCTGCCAACGAGCCAGTTTTATTCGGTTTTGAAAACACTGCATACTCATATAATGGATTCAAATGTTTTTTAAGGGCTGTAGCCAATGTTTTCAAATTGCCATTGACCCGGATGGTTGGATTGTTTGGCCCAGGAATCATCCAGACAACCGATTTTGTTTTACTCCAAATCTGGTCCTTGGCCAAAAACTGTTGAATTGGTCAATAACCTGCTGTGGCTGAGTTGTCGACTCATTCAACCTGTTCAACAGGTTTGACCTTTTCTTAATTTTAATTTTAATTTTTCGTTGGAACAGGTTATCCATTCAAACCGGATGGTTGAATCATCGACCCGGAAACCAGTGGCCAGAACTGTTCCAATTCTGGGTCATTTTTAGAACATTGGTTGACTGGTTGTAGCCCTCAATATAATTGCTTTGAGGGGGAAAAGTAATATAATATAACTAGCAGGGACCCGTGAGATGCACGGGATTTGTCGAGGGAAAATAAAATAACAGAAACTGATAACTATTATAAAAATGCAATGCTATTTAAAATAATTAATCTTTATTTTACTAATTTATTATAAAATAATTTAAAATTTTAGTAATTTAGATTAATTATATTAATTATTTTAATAATACTACTATTTATTTAATAAAATAATTATTTTTCATATTATTTGTTAGTGTTCTATTTTATTAATGGTTAAATGTTATAATTTCTTATAAATATTACTTAAATATTTAAAATACTTATATATTAGTAAATATGTAAAATCAGGTTGTAGTCAAAATTAAATTAATCTAAGCTCGATATCCAGGCTTAAGACTTGAGGTTGGGCTTGGGTTGACCCTCAACCTGACCCAACTTGACAGAGTTGCACCCTAAGAGCAATGTGACATTTGTAATTGGACTGAACCAAACTGAGTACAACCCATTCATGCATTACTTTTTGGTTTTAACTATTTTTAGATAAAAATTATTAATATTGTTGCCAAAGCAGCTATTGGGGATGGGATACCCCTGTTGTGTAGACCAATGAACTAAAAAAAGTAAAATATCTTGAGCAAAATTTTGATAATGTATTAACAGTTTTTAAGGCTGTCTGGCCCAACTCAACCCATACTCTAAGCACAATAATATTTGTCTAGACTTAGGTCAAACAGACTTGCCCATGTATGATTTCTTTAGGGAATTTCTCCAAAGTAACTCAGTCAATGCAACTTAATAAACCAATGCAAGAGCCTTCTTCCCATATTAGCTTAAGTGGATTTTGTTATTTTAATTAATGATTATTGTTATTTATTAAACTATGAACAACTAATAGTTTAAACCTAATAATTGGGAGTGGAAATGGGAGATACCCGATTGATTAAAACAAAGCAAGAGTCCTATTTGTTAGTAATTTTCACTATTGCATCATAACTAGAATCGTGAGTGATTCTAAATCCACTTTAAACCTAATAATTGGGAATGGAAACGGGAGATAATAGGGCTTTGGAAAGCCATCTGATATGGCCAAGGATGGATGAAAATATAGAAATTTGATTCGTCAGATGCAAAATAATGTAGAATAAAAAATATAAATTATATATATAGATCTGAAAAGTAAATATCCACTTTTTGTACACGAAGTAACAGACTTGAAACATTCTCCATCTCTTGTTTGGTATTAACCCAATACCACTTCAACAAATTGGAAGGTTGATAGGGGTCCACGATATTTGGTTAAGAAGACCTTTTACCACCTGCACAATGTTGTATAAAGCCGGGTGGGGATCAAGTTTAGAGGGAATATTTTTTTTTTCTGGTTCCTTTATGCTGTGTTTGGTTTGAAGGAAAAGGTAGGGAAACCTAGATTGTATAGGTTTCCTTATCTTTCCCTACCTTTTCCTTATCTTTCCCTTCCTCTAAATTAGGCATTTTGTCATTTAAGACCTTTAGTTTTTAGCCCATAAAAGCTAAAACATGCAACTCACTCCTCTTTCATTTTAGGCCCTGGGTAAGTTTTTCCTGGGAAACACTTATTCGGGTAAGTGCATTTATTCATGTTCTTTTATTCTCATGTAAATAAGACAATGACCATTTTAGTCATAAAAATCTATTATTAAAAGGGACATTTTTGTCCCATTCAAGTGTTGACAACTTTCCCCTTTGGTGGGAAAGTTATTTACTCACCTAGGAGATGGATATCACTTACCCGGGAAAATAAACTTTCACTGGTCCCTACATAAATCTGAAAAAAGAACATGGGATTCTTGGTCCATGGAAACCAAAATTCCATTGACCAACTTTCTCCCCTCTCAAAATCTAAAAAAAAGCACCCCCTTAGAAACAGCATGTGAAAGGACAGGAGTGCAAAATAAATTGGAGTTTGGCTTAGGTCAGGGCAAAGCCCGTTCAAGCAGCCTTTACAGCCTTGCATTGAGAATATCTCTGTTTATGTGCTTTATTTTATAGGGAGATATTCCCAATACAAGGTTGGTTGGAACAGGTGGGCACGGACTTCCCCTGACGAAAGCTGACCTCAGTAAATAGCAAAGATATAAGTTGATATTATATATCGAATTTAACTTTTATGAACTACATCAAAGCCAAGGCAAGTATGGGCTTTATAAATACTAGACATTTGGTAGCATGCTAGCATTCCGTTCGAAACGTTAACGTTTCTAGGAATAGTATCAACAGAAATCCTAGGAATGTTACCAAACACCACCTAATGAGACGAAAGTTCATCAAAATAGTGGTCTATTCAAAAGAGCAAAGAAAAAAATGGTCACTGTATGATTCAAAGCAAAAGCTGATCCAACCGCTTCTAACAAACGTGATTTTCTAATTTTAGATGGTTTTCTTGAGTATCATAAACACCTTACAAGCAACTCCTGCAGAATCATAAACACCTTTACAAGGAATGAAGGAATCCTATCCTCACCCATCAGATATTTCCCCAAGCAGTCCCAAAGATTCTGGAGAAAGAAAAGAGTTGAAAAAAGACTTAAATGCTATTTTACCTCAATGGATGATTATATGCAGAAAGACCCATACTAATAACTTTGTTCAAAACAAGCACAAGATCCTCAGACCTGTTAAAGCACCCTCCAAACTCCTGAAATGGGAAAAAAACCAGAGGCACCATGACAAGACTTCTGGAAAAAAAAAAAGTTCCAGAATGTAGCTTCTCAGGCAGGTACATCGGAGTGCTGTAATGTTTTTATGAAGGAAGAGAATACACTTCAGACTTCCCGTTTCAGAGTCACATTAATGATCCCTATGGGTGACTTAGGTCGGTAGTGTTCATCTGTATCCACCTCTTCAATTTCCTGAACGATACATCATAGACGAGAAATTCCAGTGAGCATAAATAAATAATAAAAAGGATCCAGCAAATATAAGACAACATGAAGTTAACAGGAACATGAATCACAGCTGCTTCAGGTCTACCAGTATACCCAAACAAGATCCAACTTGGCTATTATGAATAGGATAATGTTGATGTCTAGCGTGGAAAAATCTAGTAAGGTGTGCTAGAGGTTTGTATGCATAATTTCCCCCTTTGCTTCAGATACAAGTACATTATACACTGCACATTTGTCACTGTGCACAGGCCCCTATCTGACTGTCCAGGTGAGTCTCCTACATAACGTTCGAGACATGTCAAGTATAATGTACTTGTACCTAACATAAGAAAAGAAATTTGTATAGCATTGCTCAAGTCTAATATAAAATTCATTACTGGTTGAAATTCAACAATTGGGGCCCCAGATACATTACAAGTGATTTGGGGTGGTCACTGGGCGAAGCATTGCTAGTTCCTAGCAAATAAAGGTCATTACTCAGTCCAACTGCAGCTTGTCAGCAATGTTGCTAGTTTTGAAATGTTAGGTAAAAGCTTTTACCAAAACAAAAAAAAAGGAAAGAAAGAAAGAAATGTTAGCTAAAGCTAGTAACTTCTTGATACTAGCCAAAGTAAAAATCATGTTGATTCCAAGGTATACAAGCTAAAAGAGCAGGAATGAATGTGTCCAGTGGGAAACTTGTATAAAGATTTTACTTGATCAGAAACCTATGATAGCTGGATACTTGTAAATGGGTTATGTATCATGTTGGATACTTGAATTTTTAGTGTATATCCTGCATCCGATACTGTATCCAGGTAGCATAGAAAAAGTACAGAAAATGCCAGGTTTAGTTTCTACTTATCAGTAAATAAATTGGAAGTTGATCTATTACCAAAATAATCCCCATCTGCAAGAAAAAAAATGGGTTTGCAAGTGAGCAAGGGAGAGAGAGTACCTGGACAACATCTTCTCCCTTGATGACCCGTCCAAATACAATAAGCTTATCACTTAAATCCGGGATAGGTGCAGTTGTGATAAAAAGTTCAAATCCTTTGTCATCGTGTTTAGTTTTCGAAGTTCCAAGCATAAATGCTTCATGCTTTGGACTGGATGTTTGCGCATATAAAGCACAATTGTTAGAAGTCTGAACAATAAAAGTAACCTTAAAGCAATAAAGGAAAGTGGTGTATATGCTAGAAGACCTTATACTATCAGGTTTTCCTTTCATTGTCCAATCTTCTGCAGCTCCCAGTCTTTGGAAGTCTCCAGCCTGGATCACATAGTTTTTTATCACACGATGAAAAAGCATCCCCTTGAAGTGCTCCCTTTGACTGCAAAACCAGATACTATATCAAATTCTACAAAGAAAATGGAATGAAATGGACACATGTAGGACAAGGAATAGATGGATGTTATATGGTTACCAGAGATTCAAGATAGAAAATTGGCAATGCAAACACTAGGTTTCCATATCAGATAAATATCCCCCAGGCCCAAACTAATCCACTAATTTCAAATAAGCAATACTCAATTATTCCTACTGTAAACCATTCTTTAACCTACCATGCTTTTAGGAGAGAGATTTAATAGTGAAAGGGAACTGTCAAGTGGTTATCCACTGGATATTGTTGAGGGGAAGACATCTTTACTTTCTAGGTTTCAGATTAGAGAAGCAAAATCTTTTGCGACTCACATGAACAGCTTGTTCAGGTGGATTCTAAGAACTGCAAACAATATGGCTGATGCTTTAGCTAGGAAAGGGCCAAGGGGTCAGCAAAGGTATCTTAGTTTGGAATATCCTGACTCGGAAATTCTGTAACATTTTCTTGGTTGTTTGTGCAACAGATAATCAACTGTAACCAGGTCTCAGCTGAACATTAATGCCTCCTCCAGTTTCCTATCTTTCCTGTTTCTCTACTATGTTATTCATTCTATTAATAAAATTCTAGTTTCTTTTTGGTATTAAATAAAATTCTAATTTCTGATGCTTATGAAAAGAGGGAAAGGGGGAAAAAACTCTTTTGCATTAACTACCAAGTACCCCAAATAAGAATTATAAATGCTCTCATGGTAAAAATAGAAAGACCATTTATCTTTGGGAAATAAAGGCAATTCAAGACAATTCAAGCTATGGATGTGGAAGTATATAGTGACAAATTCAAATACTCACCATGAGTCAAGAAATTTATCCACAATTTCAGGATAACCTTCCTTGTACAGTTCCACTGTTATCAAACCTTTTGAGGTATTTAGGATCTAATACAAAGAACAAGGTAAATAAACATAAATAGGAGATCAAATATAAATGGAAAAAAAGAAGGGATGTAGCTTAAATGGTTATAAACAAATAAAAAAAGGGACATTACCGAATGTTGGTCCCAGCTATCTGGTATGAACCAAAAAAAGAAAAAATAAACAAATTTTGCATAACCAAAACCAATCATTTTTATTAGCTACCAACACCCATTTTTTCATCATCTAGAGAATAAGAAAAATAAGAGGTGGATTTAATAAAAGCTGAAATGTTGGCTCTTCTGTTTGGCTTCAGGAGCACCATCTATAGTAGACAAGGTGTCGCCTAGGCAACAAGGCATCCACCTAGGTGACAAAAATCACAAGGCACATGCCTTACAAGAATATTATTATTATGCATGTCAAAACATCTTATTATATGTTATATATATCCAAATATTTTAGGAAGACAAAAAAGAAAGAAAGAAGTAGAGAATAAAAAGTTTTCTTTTTTCTTTCAGATCTGTCCCTAATTATTTTTCCTTTCTTGTCACTCTCTTAAAAAATTTATTGGTATTAAATTATAACCTTCTTTAGTTGCTAATAATTTTTTTGACATATGATGGCTCTAATAAAGTATTAAATAATCTTAAAATTGACTCAAAATGCTAATGAGTTCTAGATATAATAATTTTTCTATGTTTTGAAAAGAAAATTAATGTTGATAGTAAAGACTAAAGAGCATTATTTTTTAAAAGGAATTAAAAAACAGTAATAATTAAAAATTCAAATCTGAAAATTTGAAGGAATGAAATGTTTTTAAAAACCTACTAGATCAAATCTCAATATTGAAGTCCTCAATATGCAAAGGGTCTAAGAAACCAGTTTTCAAGCAAGGAAAAACAATGCTTTTTTTTTATGCCCTGAGAATCAGCTAATTGGGGAGTGAGTGAACAGCAATGGTGAATGGCATGGGCGGTTGGAGTGAGTGAATGACAGCAGTACCCAGTTGGTGGTTGCAAGTTGTTTAATCAATGTTCTGAGAAAAAAGCAGTAGGGGAGCTCCTCAACCACCATGGAGGAGGGGAAAACCAAGATGTAATGACTTCTAAAGAGGGGATTGAGTGGTTGATGAGATAAAAGGGTTGAATCGCAGTTAAAGAGAGGTAGCAAGGTTGCAATCTTGACCATAGGGAGGTGATTGTGAAGTTGTATGAGGAGAGTTGATAGCCAGCAACCAGGACAACAGGGAGAGCAAGGAGTACCTAAGAAGATGTGTGGTTGGAAATTTTGAAAGCAGCCCTCCTTTACCAGCATCATCCTTGAGTCCTATTCTGAAGAGAAAATAGGATTTATTGCTGTGCCCAGAAGTTCGTCAATTACCTCAAGGTATGTTCTTGATCCTACTACCGTCAAAGAGGGAGGACAAAAGAGTTATACAGGACTATCCCCAAGGACTGGTCATTGACGACTTTAGATTTTGGTTCGGCAACTAGTATCCGAGAGTGGGGATGTTACGAAGGATGAATGGGATGCTTCCTCTTGTTGGATAAGAGCTTTTGGCTTGTCGATGCACTTGTGGAACGGCATACTTATTGAAAATGTGGGTGAACCTTTTGGAGGCTTCGTTTTTTTTTTTTTTTTTGAGAGAAAGTAAAGTATCATTGTATTAAATATGAACAAAATATACAGCAAGATAAAGTGCTAAAGGAACCAGAAAAACTGATCCCTCTAAACTTAAACCCCACCCTGCTTTACAAGAAGATTATCCTGTACAAAAAAGGACTCAAAACCTATACCCCTAACCAGCCTGTTACCAGACAACCAAGAAAACTCCTATATGGCCAAAGATAGTTGTAAAAAGGTTTGCATGAAGGTGAGTTCGCAAGGGTTCCATTCCACAACTTCAGTCAATGTGGTGTTTGAAGGGGTCATGTATGTTGTTGCTATCTAGCCAATTTTCCTCCCAAGCATCATGACAATCCTAGAAAAACTTGGGCAAGAAAAGGTTATTTATGTTCAAGAAGGTGCAAGACTCCTCAGGAAGAAACGATGGAGGAGCCAGGAGGGGATGGAGTGTGGCTACAATCAACTCCCAGGAATCCTTTGGATGAGCAAGGCAAACTAGGAGCCCAAACAGGGGTAGGAGTTAAGATGATAGGGGACACAACCGACTGGATAGAAGATTTAAGGCCCACTAGAAAACGGAATTGCAAGACTCCTAGGCAAGTTCTTTACATAGAAGTAGATCAAAGGAGGGGACCGTGCATTAAATCTGGTCTTCTTCAAACTCAAAGCCAAAACCTGGCCCAGATCTAGGTCGTTATATCTCACCTCGAAATTCAAAGAGCTGTTAGGGAGATCTCAACCATCCATGTGTTGGGAATAGGATGGCTAGAGATATGGGATCAAAGGAGAAAATTTTTGAAATTCAAAATGTCCCATGGGACCTCCTCAAGGTTCCAATAAGAGAAGTGCTAGCTGAATTGCCTCTAGAGCATCCAATGTGGGCTGGTTATGGTTGACACTCAAGGCCCAAGCCCAATGATTCCTGATAGCAACAATCTAGATCCACAAACAGGTAAACAGTCTACACCGACTCAACCCCAACCGGACTAGGCTCAACCTAAGCAAAATGGAATCTCAAGCCAACCACAATAACCCCTGCCCATTGAGGACTCTATAAACTAAGCGAAAGAAGAATTGAAGATTCAAAAGTGGAAAGGAGCCAACGAAGGTGGTTTTCAGTTTTCCACAGCTCCATCTTATGGTGACTAGAGGAAGTGACATTGATCCAAGAGGAAGGCCTCAAAAACCCTCGTGCAATAATTGTGAGGTTGCAATTGCATCATCCGAAACAAGGAGTGGTAGTGCCTCCAAAAGAGAAACCAACAAGATGGCAAAACGCTGGTGTTGTTGGAGTCAAAGAAGGTGGACAAATAAGTGATATCAGTTTCACCCCTAACAATGGTGGCAGGAGATGATAATGAAAATGGGGCAAGGCTGATTATGAAGCTCGACGATTCAAGAGCTACAAATCAAGAACCTCTCCAATTGTCCTGGGCAGATGAAGTCGAGTAGGAAAAAAAAACAAATCAGAGAAAGGTTGTGGTATCTCATATTGGTGAGATCGAATATTACACATAAGAAAATTCTTGGGAGTATCCTTTGGTGGCCACGAGGAAGAAGTACTAGCTCTATTCAAAGCAATAGAGAAGAGAAATTCCAAGCACGGGGAAGAAGCCTTGAATGATTTGATCAAGGGGTCACATATGCAGAGAGAAAAGAAGAGGCTTAACTGGACCATGAATGAAGGGGCACCCTCAGCAAGTAAGTCATGCACCTATGTGGAGTACCAAAGGGCAAGGTGGTAATAAGGGCAAGAGGAGTTTGTGTGGAGGTAAGGCAATTTCTTAGTCTCAATCATGAATTTTTCAATTATTTCTTGGAATGCTTGGGGCTTGGGGGACCTGAGGAATAGAAAAGGGGTGAAAATTTTGATTGAAAATTGTAGGAAAAGGGAAGTGAGTTTCAGCTTTCGACTGGTTTGGTTGGGTGGAAATCGAACAGGCGCTTAACAGAGGTAGGAGTAGAGGAAGAAGATGATGCTAGTTTTGGAACAAAAAAAGTTTTCGATTTTAGTGGGGTTGACATGTTGGATCTGTTGGATTTCCGAGACTTTGGTAAAGGAAAGAGGGATGCCTTGTGGAAGAGTTCGAAAAAAGGGAGAGGGGTTTGGGGCCCACTCGGTGTCAGCTCAAAATAAGGCTGGGGCAGGCCCGTTAGATTTAGTGGACACTGTTATTATGGGAAAGATAGAGGGTGTGAATAAATCAATGAATCAAGAGAAAAAGGATCTAGGGTTTGTAGGGGGAGTGGAAAGGCACCAACACCACGTTTACAAGGGATGTTAAACGAAGGGAAAGGAGATGCTACCAGGGCCCACTCTCCAAAGTCTTTTCAAAATCTTTTTTTTTTATGAATGTCTTTTCAAAATCTTACAAGAAAGTCTATCGTCCCATCCAGTTTAAGGGTTAACAGAAAAGGCATAACTCCTTGTAAAAGACAACTTAGCAGATCCGGTTTGAACAAGAAAGAGATTAGAGATGTTGAAGGGAAGAAGCAGATCTTTGAGAGGCATGCAAAGGAGAGGACTACTTTTGGCGCAACCCAAAGTCTTGGAAAAAAGTGTGGATGGTCCAAGCTGTTGGACTCAAAGTAGGGGAGAATCGGTAGAGGACTTCAAAGGTGCAACTATAAAGGAGAGCTCTGTTGAAGTGATTTAAAACTCAGTAGGGAGGATGGTCCTGGCCGTTGCGATCAAATTAGGGTGGGGAGATGCGAAAACACAACTTCAAAGGAGATCTCTGTTTCAACATCCAAGGGCTCTTCTCCTACTGAGAAAAAACTCACGACTAATGATGTTAGGGAACGAAGTGATGGAGACTGGCCTAACAGAGAAGGGGTATGTCTCGAGCAATGTTTTAAAAGGTGTGGGAGGCATACGCCTGGAAGCGCGCCTCCAGGCGAGGCACTCCCAAAACGCCCTGAGGCATATGCTAGAGGCGCTGACACCTCTGAGGCATGTGCCTCAGGTGCAAGAGGCATATGCCTCATGCTCTTTTTTCATGAAGCGTGCTAGAGGCATACGCCTCATGCTCCTTTTTCATGAGGCGTGCTAGAGGCGTACGCCTCATGCGCCTCATGCACATCTTATATAAAAAGACAGAAAAAAGAAAAAGAAAAAAGAAAAAAAGGGAAAGGAAAGGAAAGGAAAAGAAAAGAAAGGGAAGGGAAAGAAAAAGAAAGAGAAGAAAAAAAGAGAAAAGGAAAGAAAAGAAAAGAAAGGGAAGGGATTTCAACTAATGTCATGCATCTTTATTCTTCTTAATATAAAAGATTTTTATTAAAAATAAAGAAAAAATGAGATCCCCCCTTCCTCTTCATCCTCCTCCTAACCCCCCTCTTCTTAAGGAGGCGTAAGCTTATGCCTCCTTGTGTTCGGGAGGCTTACGCCTCTTGCG